TCGCCCCTTTTTTTTTGTTGTGAAAATCATCCAATGACTTCTCTCGCCTGTGGGAGGCGAGAGGGAGTGTCAGACTCTTACTGACTAAAAACCTCCCCGTTCTTCTCCTGCACTTCAAGCCGGAGCCCCGGCAATCCGTTAAGTCCTCTGCGGCTCCGTATCGGCATCAGCTCTATTGGGCCCCATCTGTGGTGGTCTGATGAAGCATTGTCGTCCCTTGGTGGTCATCATGTGATTAATACAACTATCATCTAGGGCCTTTTAATAAACACCGTGAAATCGATTTGGTTTTCGTCCCACGGCAAAACAACTTGCCATATGAAGTACTTTACATGTATAAAGTAAAAACAAAAAAATAAAAATGTATTGTTTTTAGTTTAAAAAAACTTTTTGTAGGCGCTTTTCGCATTGCACGTGCCACCCGACGAGAAATACCTATTCGAGAATTATGTACATGGTGTATTTTGATAATGTACTAAGTATGATTTCATATGCGCTTTCGATGTTTGCTTTTTGCAATAGTTCAATAATTATTTTTTGCTTTAAACATTTTAGTAAACTATTGTATTACCAAGACAGAACCATTTTACTTCGGGACGAAAACGAAATAGATTTAATGGTGTAGATGAAATACGCAAAGAGCGTGCATTTTATAAAACACTAAGTTAGGAGTATTGATCGATCCAAATGAGTTGATAAGTGATAGTAAATTGCTCAATTAAGGCTCCAAAATAGTCCTTTCTTAACACCTTTGTGTTCTCAATAAAAATGTAACAATTCGAACCTAATAATATATTGTACGGACAAAAATAACACGAATTTTGTTATCGATTCGACCGATCTCTGATTCAAACTCGATACAAGGCTGTGTAGGATTCTTCCCTTTGCCTCCGTCCCGAAGGTAAAAAAAAGATTAAATGACAATTGGATACCATAAACACCTAGTTTAGGTTTTTTTAATTTCTTTTTTTTTTGTACGTTTGAATGAATTTGAGATATCGATCTTTTTGTACGGATTTTGACTTCAGCTTTGTATGGCATAAGCAGTGTTTGTCGAAGTTAGTTAGTTTTATGTGTCTTAAAGAGAACGTTAAGCTATTCAGCTACTTAGTTGTTAAATACTAATATGATCATTAATGTAAAGCAAGAGGTTTTCATAACATAACATTAGACATAATTTAGGTGCCTCTTCTGCTTCATCTTCATAAAATGAGATATATAATATTTATATAAAATAATCCTTTGGTTTTGCTCTTGACCGCCTCATTGGCCAAATAGTCGCATCCAAATGTTGCGGCTGCCAGGCAAAGGGTCTCGGGTTCGATTCCCAAGTCGGGCAAAGTATTATTAAATTCTCAGTAGTAGCAAGGAGTCTGGAATCGTGCCCTTTATATTAGCAATAGACTTACCCCCTATTACATGGGACTCATAACATAAATAGTGAAAATTGGGTGTTACTTTGTACAGTGGCATTTAAGTGCCGTAATGTGCACCTCTGCCTACATAAAGGCATGATGTGATGTTATGTTATCTTTTAGTACATTTCGAACTATAAGCCTAAAGACATAGTTAAGGAAACAGTTTTCTAACTAATTAAGCAATGAAGACTAGTATTTTATCACGGCACATACAAACAGACAGACAGATAGACGGAGATGCCACGCTCTGATATATATTTATGAGCACCAATTAGAAGGTGAGAGATACAATCTGTACCTTTTTTGTTAATAGAACAAAGAGGGATGGAGTGTCTGTGATAGAATAATGTTTTTTATAGTGTTCATCAATTTTTTATATAGGTTTTTAATGTACTTTCTGTCTTGGTTACTATAACCATTGCTTTTTTTCTGTATTATTTCTTAATATTTTATTAAAAACTTGATTGAACAGCTTAATCTCTGCTCATCCCTTCGAAGTTAAACGTAATATTATATCTTTTACACCTCGAAATGGTATGAATTTGTAATTAGAATAAAAATGTAAATAAGTATTACATACTTAAATGTTTTCGTTAATAACTTCTCGTTATTTGTCAGTCAAGTTCTTTATAGGGGCAAGCCTATTTGTCATGCCCCTGACACAATGTGGACTACTTTTTTTTTGTTAGAATTACGTAGTCCCACACTAGGTTTTTCTCCTGTGTCGTGGGTGCGTTTACAAAAATACAAGTTCACATACACATAACACCCAGACCCGGAACAACAATCTGTGGATCACACAAAGAATTGTTCCGTGCGGAAATCGAACCCGCGACACGTTGAGCGACAGCTAGTTGTCCAGCCACCGCGCCAACCGCGCAGTCGAACTTCTATAATATATCTAAGTATAAAGGCGTTTTTTTCAACAGGAGTAACACCAAAAATTGTTTACCAATTACTAATTACGTCTGAACTCTGAAACGATAATGTTTTACTTATAAGATACTCTACTATCTACTACGCCACCAAGCGTGTCTTTGCATTATTCTCACATATACGTACAATATTGGAATATGTATCAGAGACATTGTAGTACTTTTTTACAAAGAGTAACGAATGGAGTTTCTTGTTTTTCTCCATTCTAATCTACATTTTGGAATGAGCACCTAGCTTCACCTAGCTTCACTGACGGACTGACTGTCAGACTATTATTTATTTTGTATTTGTTGACATTTCAAAAGTACCAAATTATGGTTTAATTGAAATAAATGCTTTGACATTGACTTTGACATCTTTTCACAGCTAAAAAGTAATACACTAAAAAGAGTGATAATACAATCTCCAAGCATTTCACTGTTCCCCTTAATTTTATCTCAGGGCAGTAGAGACGAAGGTTTTTATTTTATTTTCACTATATCACATCAATTCTTTACGCTAGGACATGGGGAACTAGGAAATGACTCTATTAATGTACAGCGGCCATTTTGGGACACATTTTAATAAAAAAACTGAGTAACTGCGAGTTGGACTCGCGGACGAAGGGTTCCGTAGTTCGTAACAGTCGTTTATTTAGTCATTCGAGTTAAAAATGACATTAAAATCAACTTTGTTAGTTTTTTTATGGAATAGGAGACAAACGAGCATACGCATAACCTGACGGTACGTGATCAGCGCTGTCCATGGACACCCACAACACCAGAGTAGTCACAGGTGCGTTGCCGCCCTTTAAAAAAGGAATACGCTCTTTTCTTGAAGGTTTGAAGGTCGTATCGGTTCGGAAATACCGCCGACGACAGGTCATTCCACAGTTTTGCTGTTTGAGGCAGAAAGTTATTAGAGGAAAGTGACCAAATATGGAATAGTATCCCTAATATGGAATACCGGCAATACTAAGAAACTATAATTCACACACGCAAGAAACACTGTTTGTCTCTTTGTTTCTATCCCCATCTGCGGGTGCAGACTGTGACATATCAGTGGAGTGAGCCCTTTCGTCAATATTGCAGTGTTTTATTTTGCCGCTACTGCATAACTTTCTAACGTATGTGAAAGATACGCATTTTTCGTTTAAAAAGTGCACATCGTATTGTTTTTATAACTTTTAGAGACAGTTTAAATGTTCTTTTGTCGATTTCGGTGGTATTTAATTGTATTTATTTCTTAAACATTAAAATATTAATGTCAGTTTAAAGTCGTTGCAAAATCCAATTATGGAATGATGGACCATTCCATAATTGGATTTTTGGACCGTTTTGTTTGATACAGACAGAGAGCCCGATGCTTTGATAGGAAATACAACTCCAGACTCTGAAGATTCGGAGTGTATTTTCTGTGGTATTCTGTTTTCAAATGATACTCATAGAGAAACATGGGTCAAGTGCCTCATAATATGTGGACTCTGGGCACATAGACTGAACCCGGAGCAGAGACTGATGTCTGGATTTGTGACTTTTGTAAAAGTGCTTGTGCCGGAGCCCCAGTTACCCATTAAGTTCTCCGCGACTACCTACCAACATAATCTTAATTATTACTGTTGAGAAGGAACTCGGCTATAATGACAACACATATAACATAACATCACGCCTTTTATCCTAAAGGGGTAGGCAGAGGTGTAACATTATAACGCTTAATGCCACTGTACAATGCAACTCCCGCTATTCACTATTTATGTTATTAGTCTCACGTAATAGGAGGTGAGTCAGTTAAAAAATAAAAAAAAGTCTATTGCCATATACCGGTTTTCACAACTCCCTCCGTGACACTATTGAGAATTTTTTTAAACCCAGTTTACTTTGCCGACCCTGTAATCGAGATCAAGAGTCCTGGCAGTCGCACTTGCGACCTCTTGGCCAACGAGACAGTCATGGTTTGAAACTAGTCGAGTTCCTAATCAAACAGTTATGCGAGTGACACAAAAATATAATAATTAATTTAGTTTGTCCCACGAAAGTTTTAATATACACTGTCTAGCTGTCACGGTCCATGAGAAACGGACGGTGGAATCGTAATAATACGGTTCCCGTGTTCATCCTTTGGCTATGGAACCCTAAAAAAGGCTGCTGTCATGGCGGCAATGTCATAATATTCATAAATTCATTTTAACGTCACTTTTTTATTAGTTCTATGGGATTTCTAATTAAGAAATTAATTTCGTTATTAGTTGAGTCAATAGGTTAATTAATTTTAGGATTTTGTTTTTGAAAATATATTTTTTTGATTATTATTTTTATAAGATGTTATTTTTTTAATAAGTATGTACCTAGATGTTACATAGTTATAAATGTATGAATAATATTACTATATGAACCAAACATCACACGTAGAGTCAATATTAGTTTCAAATACAAGTATATCTATAGGTACTTAAAAATCAATAAAGAGGCGAAATCGAAAAAATAATACATCAACCATCACCACATCCAAACACCATGCAACACAACAACAAAAACAAATAACAACAACCATAGATAACAACCGCAAACAAAAAAAAATGCCAATCAAACTCCCGCTAAAACCAAATGACATTGACAGCAGCGCAAAAAAGAAACAATCAGGCAACGACCATCAGTTATACAGCCATACCTTTCATCACATCGGCAGTGCATTAGCGTGTTGACACGCCAGTTGTAGATTCCGTATTTCTTCTCCATGCCCCCGATCCAGAAGGGGCATCTTAAGTCGTGGACTCTGCAGCATCTATCAGTTCTTGTGTGCCCTCCGAGCTGAGAGTACCTTGTGGCTGAGAATCCCTTGCCACACCATTTGGTACCAGGAACTCGGAGTAGCTCCATTGTATCACGTTTTGATCTGAGATGGTAGTTCGATATTGTTATCGATATTCGGATTGTAAATCGATTTGAATGTAATTTTAATTATTTGATTCTTTATTCACTTTGTCCTTATTTTGATTGTAGCAAGATTTATTTATATTTTTGTGAAGTTTTTTCTTTTGTTCCTAAATGTTCAATAGTATAGATAAATAGATAAAAATTCGGTATGCAAGATAATAAACTTATAAACATGAAATATTTCATTTTGATGATCTAAAAAGCATCATAATTATAACATTCAATGCCTGCATCGTGACAATATTCAAGGATAACTATAAAAATGTATTACTATAAAAATGATTCATTAACATAGATAGGTACAATTTACAGATCTTAAACGAATTTACACAAAACAAATCACAAAAAAAAACAAAGGGAACAAATCAGAACCAACAACAAATAATCGATTTCTACATCCGAATATCGATAAACAATAATTATCGAAAACATCAATGACAACCATCTCTTACCTTACCTTCTATTTTCAAAAACTAATTTTTCTATCGTCCAGTGTTAGCTAACGACCTCTTCCTAACTTTTTTACAACCAGTCTTATATATAACTGACCACCAACGCGTTTATGATGTCTAATGCAATAAAAAAAATAAACTGGTCAAGTGCGAGTCAAACTCGCATACGACCGATTTCCTAGTGAATTTATTTCTGCAAATAGGCTACAAGGCAGCACTTTTACACGTCAATTTTTCAAGCGTACGATAAGGCCGACATTTCCTAACTGACTACTCTGAGAAGAAATGCCGAAACAAATTCAGAGTTCCGTCTCTTTAAAAGTCCAGACATTATGTACCTATATAAACGATTATGTGTGAGAACCGTGCAAGTTCATTCTGTTGAGCTTGTCTTTTGAGCCCTATATAAAAACATGTTTATTTTAGTTTAAAAACCTAAGAACACGCTTTCAAATACTTTTATCCATAAACATATCTTCGTTATCAGGAGTAATAGATATATCTAATGAGCTCAAACTCGATATATTTACTAGTACGTACATACGTCCAAGGTTCCATCATCAAAAACCAGCTCAATGGTACCATGATATTATATTGCGTGTTCCTCGTCTATGGTCCACAGATAATAGTAGATATTATGTATTCTATCATTTCAGCAACAAATAACTCTGTTGGTGGACCATGGACAAGACTTCATTTTTAATTTTTCTTTAGAATAGCTAATAGCGTTGAACCTTGGTATTTTTAATTTACATGTACATAAATCTCTAATATATCTATTATATCTACCTTGGTTTACCCTCGCTTTATATTATATTTTATTTTTTAGTTGTGTTATGTGTGTTCTGCGCAAAAATAAATAGATTTTCTTTCTTTCTTTCTTTCTATTGTAATCTAATCTAAACACAATTGCCAAGATTCATGATGGTACAACAATTAAAGGGTGTCTAATTCAGATTTAAAAAAATTTTTTTTTTTTCGGGTCTGGGTGTCGTGTGTATGTGAACTTGTATGTTTGTAAACGCACCCACGACACAGGAGACAATCCTAGTGTGAGGAAACTATTTAAAAAAAAACATAGTTCGATAAACGTCGACCTAATGAAAGCGTATTAAAGTATTTTGTTGTATGAGAGTCGTATCGTAACACAACATAACATCACGCCTTTTATCCTGAAGGGGTAGGTAGAGGTGTACATTACGGCACTTAATGCCACAGTACAATATAACACTCACTTTTCACTATTTTTGTTATGAGTTCCGTGTAATAGGGGGTGAGCCTATTGCCATATACCGGGCACAATTCCAGACTCCGTGCTACTACTGTTTTTTTTTTAAATCCCAGTAATACTTTGCCTGACCCGGGAATCGGACCCTAGACTCTTTACCCGGCAGTCGCACTTGCGACCACTCAGCCAACGAGGCAGTCTCGTAAGCAATACGCAATCTCGTACAAAATTCATAGAATCGTGTAGTCGTGTACCACTCGGCCAACGAGGCAGTAATAAGTCAATGTAATAAAAATCTAAATTGATAAATACCTATGCTTGTCTATAAAACGTCGGTCGGATCAATGATCTGTAGAAAAATTTACGTTTAAAAATTTGTATTATTTTATTACCCATGTGGTGTAAATGTTGTATTAATTGCCGTGAAAGTATTTATATTAGGTTGGATGCTGCGGTTAAGACGTAGAGTGTGAAGTACGCCTTATTTACACAGGGCCCCCGAGAAACAAGACAAGTGATGTTCAAAAACAAGTTCTATTTTCATAGCAGTATAAGCCTAAGTTCTATTTTCATGGCCGAGTCGCACTTGCGACCACGCAAGTGCGACTGCCGGCCAAGGGGTCTCGGGTTCGATTCCCGGGGTAGTCGTGTTACATTGTACAGTGGCATAATATACACCTATGCTTACCCCTTCGGAGATAAAAGGCGGGATGTTATGTTACATGTTACGTATGAAGGTCGTATCGGTTCGGAAATACCGCCGACGAATGTTGTATAAATAACATAAGAACAAAATTGATTTTTTAAGTGTGGGAGAGCCATGCTTCGGCACGAATGGGCCGGCTCGACCGGAGTGATACCACGGCCGAGCAGAAAACCGACGTGAAGCAACGCTTGCGTTGTGTTTCGTCGTGTGAGTGAGGTTACCGGAGGCCCAATTACCCTCCCCTTCCACAATCTGACTGCACGGTTGGTGCGGTGGCTGGGCAACCGGCTGCCGTGCAACGTGTCGCGGGTTCGATTCCCGCACGGGACAACACTTTGTGTGATTCACAAATTGTTGTTTCGGGTCTGGGTGTCATCGTGTATGTGAACTTGTATGTTTGTAAACGCACCCACGACACAGGAGAAAATCCTAGTGTGGGGCAACGTTTTTTTTTTAAAAAAAAAAGAAATAAATAAGAATCTCCCCAATCCCTGAATCCCCAACGATCCTCAAACTCCTAATCCCCAAAAGGCCGGTAACGCACTTATAACGCCTCTGGTGTCCCGGCTTATGCCATAAAAAATGATTAAAATTGTACCTAAAAACTAATTTTATTGTCAGCATTTTTCGGAAGCTTTCTATTTACACCCTGAGGCCATAATATATTCCCTTTATTATTTTAAATTATTAATTAATTATAATTATCAATCTTTTTGCAGCTTACCACCTACCACATACATTTCTGCACTACCCAAAGGATGACTGGCAGAGAATGCTGTTAGCATTAACTCATCCTTACGCAATTGTGTAAAACTCAAAAAAATATTATGCGATTTGTTTGTTTACATAAATAACTGCGGATTGAAGAGTTTTCAGTTCAAAAATAGCTTACATTTTTGTAGTAAAATTCAAAATACATCATCTTTATTTTTCACACTAAAGAACATAGTTATGACGTTATACATATTCACTTCGCGTCGAATATTACACTCGGCACATGAAACTATACAAAACCAAGTTATCTTGACCTCGCTTTGTATAATCTTTCCGAACATACGACGGTCAGTTTATACTGGATATCTTAGCTCGATGCTTGGAGCTATACCAATCCAGTATATCTTGGTCTCGCGTTGTATGACTTTTCCGAACATTCGACAGTCATTTTATACTGGTTGTATAGGTTGATAAGTAGATTTGTGTACATTTACTTCTTACAAATAAACTAGAAAATTAAATATCACTAAATCAATAATCAATTTGTTAAAAAATCGATTAATCTTATTTTTTAAACATTTCATTATTTTGAAAACTCGACTTAATTCAATTTCATCTCAATAAAATACATACGCAATCACACTTTTAGAAAATATGTAGATAAATAAATTGCCTATTACTATCATGAAATCAATTTTAACGAAACTAACAACTGATTTATGCAACAGTATCAACATAAAATAAAAACAAAATGTATTAAGAACTCATAACAGACTATCATTAAACCAAACGAATAAACGAAACCAAGATTATTATTTAAAAACATCTCAAAGTATTGAAAACTACAAACAATTAATTCTAAATCAACACTAACATTATGTACCAAATAACAAATCGATGTGTCGTCAGGAAGGAGGGAAAATTCCAATCACACTTCACTAAAACAAATAAACAAACAGGACATCTTAATAAAACTGTTTATAAATTCGCAATCACACAAATAACGCCTAAAATGTGTCCAAATTATTATCTTTAACACGTCAGCGACGGACCTCATCATCGTGTAAGCATAATGCATAAAAACAATATTTAATCATCATAATATTAAATACAACAAAATCAAGACCCGGTATTTCGTACTATCTAATATTTCTATGAAAACTTTCAATGAACAAAATACGACACGCCATTACAGTATTAAGTACGCTCTAAATGTGTTCCATTTTATTACATCTTTGCAAAATATGTCAAAACTTCACCTTCAGTAGACAATACCACAGATAAAATAGCTTGTTGAGTGTGGCCGCCAGTTGCCCGCGAGCCGTAGTACGGGTAGGTCGCGCCGCCCCGATTTTAATCGATCGGCATCACATGTAAGCGCGGACCGAGATGAACGTTTTGCCGACCGGTAACTTATTTCGCGATCAACAAAATGGTAGCAACAATGCATGTTTTAAGTGGAAAGTGCCTTTGGAGGGTTATTGGCAACAAACACGTGGCGAGATGGATGATTATTTGCAGAGAGAAACGAAAAAATCGGATAAGTCGGAAAATTCGGAAAATTCGGAAAAATCGGAGAAGTCGGAAAAATCTGATCGGCCTATTCAAATGGAGGTCATGCTTTGGTCTCCATCCCCGCAAACTGTACCAGTGTCCTTCCCAGAGCCCCTCTCAGTGTCTGACGATTGGCGCTCGCTTCCCACGCCCGCTCCTCTGGGGTCTCCATCAGAGTGTGTGCCAGAATCTGACCCGGAATATGTCACAGAGTCTCAACCGAAGTTTGTGCCACAGTCTCACCGCGAGTTTGTACCACAGTCTCACCCCGAGTTTGTACAACAGTCTCACCCAGAATATGTCTCAGAGTCTCACTCGGAGTTTGCGTCAGAATCTAACATAGTGTTTACATCAGAGTCTCACTCAGGATTTATGCCAGAGTCTCACAAAGAATTTGCAGAATATCCACCAGAATCTCACACAAAATATACGCCAGAGTCTAGCACTGAGTTTGTGCCAGAGTCTCAACCTCAATTTGCGCCAGTGTCTCAAACAGAGTTTGCGCCAGAGCGTCACACAGGATATGCAACAGAGTCTCACTTAGAGTTTTTGACACAATCGCACACAAAGTTTGCAGAAACACCGCCAGAGTCTCACACAGAGTTTGCAAAAATACCGCCAGAGTCTCACACAGAGTTTGCAGAAATACCGCCAGAGTCTCACACAGAGTTTGCAGAAGTACCGCCAGAGTCTCAAACAGAGTTTGCAGAATTTCCACCAGAGTCTCAAACAGAATATGCGCCAGAATCTCACTCAGAGTTTGCGTCAGAGTCTCAACCACAATTTGTGCAAGTATCTCAAACAGAATATGCATCAGAGTCTCAAACAAAATATGCATCAGAGTCTCACACAAAATATGCATCAGAGCCTCATACAGAGTTTGCAGAGATTCCGCCAGAGTCTCACACAGAGTTTGCGGAAATTCCACCAGAGTCTCACTCAGAGTTTGCAGAATTTCCACCAGAGTCTCAAAATGAATATGCATCAGAGTCTCACGCACAATATGCATTAGGGTCCCACACAAAATATGCATCAGAGCCTCATACAGAGTTTGCAGAGATTCCGCCAGAGTCTCACACAGAGTTTGCGGAAATTCCACCAGAGTCTCACTCAGAGTTTACAGAATTTCCACCAGAGTCTCAAAATGAATATGCATCAAAGTCTCACGCACAATATGCATCAGAGTCCCACACAGAATATTCATCAGAGCCTCACACTGAGTTTGCAGAAATTCCGCCAGAGTCTCACACAGAGTTTACAGAAATTCCGCCAGACTCTCATACTGAGTTTGCAGAAATTCCGCCAGAATCCCAAACAGAATATACATCAGAGTCTCACACAGAGTTTGCGGAAATTCCGCCAGAGTCTCACACAGAGTTCGCAGAAATTCCACCAGAGTCTCAAACAGGATTTGCAGAAATTCCGCCCGAGCCTGACACAGGGTTTGCTGAAATCCCGCCAGAGTCCCACACAGAATATACATCAGAGTCTCACACAGAGTTTGCAGAAATTCCGCCAGAGCCTCACACAGAGTTTGCGGAAATTCCGCCAGAGTCTCAAACAGAGTTTGCAGAAATTCCACCAGACTCTCATACAGAGTTTGCAGAAATTCCGCCAGAGTCTCACACAGAGTTTGCAGAAATACCACCAGATTCTCACACTGAGTTTACAGAAATGGAGCAAGAGTCTCCCACAGAGTATACAGATATTCCATCAGTGGCTCTCACAGAGTTTGCAGATATTCCACCAGAGTCTCCCACAGACTTTGAAGACATTCCATCAGTGGCTCTAAGAGAGTTTGCTGATATGCCACCGGATTCTCCCACAGAGTTTACAGATATGTCTCCAGAGTCTCCCACAGAGTTTACAGATATGTCTCCAGAGTCTCCCACAGAGTATGCAGACATTCCATCAGTGGCTCTTACAGAGTTTGCAGATATTCCACCAGAGTCTCCCACAGACTTTGAAGACATTCCATCAGTGGCTCTAAGAGAGTTTGCAGATATGCCACCGGATTCTCCTACAGAGTTTTCAGATATACCACCAGAGTCTCCCACAGAGTTTTCAGATATACCACCAGATTCTCCCACAGAGTATGCAGACATTCCATCAGTGGCTCTCACGGAGTTTTCAGATATTCCACCAGAGTCTCCCACAGAGCTTGCAGAAATTACACCTGAGTCTCTAACTGAGTTTGAAGAAAATTCGCAAGAGTCTCACACTGACTATCCAGATATTCCATCAGTGGCACTCACGGAGTTTTCAGATATTCCACCAGAGTCTCCTACAGAGCTTTCAGAAATTACACCTGAGTCTCTAACTGAGTTTGAAGAAAATTCGCAAGAGTCTAACATAGAAATTGATGACGATGGATTCCGGCGTCCCGCTCCGCCCCCTGTGCCTGATTCGCCGCCAGAATCTCCACTGGAGCCTTCGTTAAAGATTCCGTTACCGATAGCATCTCCGTTTATCTTACCCTTATACTCTCCGCTAGGAGTTTCGTCAGAATCTCACTCAGATTTTGCAGATATTGAAACAGAATCTCAATCAGAGTTTGCATCAAAGTCTCGCTCAGAAATTACACCAGAGTCTCACTCAGAGTTTGATGCCGACGGATTTCGGCGTCCTGCACCGCCCCCTGTGCCTGATTCACCGCCAGAATCCCCAATAGAGCCTTCACTAGATATTCCGATAGAGTCTCCGCTCATCTTTCCTCTGTATTCTCCGCTGGGGGTTCCAGTAGAGTCGATACCATCGCCACCACCAGTCATTGAAATTTCCAGCGATATTGCGAAAAACGTGACTCTTTTTAACGCCGGGCAGAGTAAAACATTATGCGACTCTGACGACATAATAATAGAACAAATAGATGAGATGGAACAAATGGAAGAGGCTGCCAAATCTGCTAAGTCCACTAACTTTACAAATTTTGTCAAGCCTGTCAAACCTGCTAAAATATCTAAGGCTGCCAAGGCTGCCAAGTCTGCCAAGTCTGCCAAGTCTGACAAATTTGCGAAGTCCGACAAATCTGCGAAGTCTGACAAACCTGTCAAGCCTAATAAGTCACACAAGCCAGTGCCAGTGCTTCCGGCCCATCGTAAGGAGCAGGTAGCTAAGACATACGCTAACATGTTTGTCGCTGGCACCTTCCGTCGATTGCACCGGTGTGAAATAGGATCTTGCGACAAGATTTTCACCAAGAGCTCGCATTTAAAAGCTCATATGCGATCACATACTGGTGAAAGACCGCATAAGTGTACTTGGGAGGGTTGTGATTGGAGCTTCGGAAGGCCTGATGAGCTGACAAGACATATGCGTAAACACACGGGAGCCAAGCCGTTCACCTGCCGCCAATGCAACCAGTCCTTCTCCCGCTCGGATCATCTAAAGCGACATAAGCATCCCACCGTACCGCCCACCCCGCTAACTAAACGAAACTAAACCGCACGCGTATGTACGCATGTTATCGTGATTGTAAATATGTGATTTAGTTTGTAAATGTCTGATTGTTTAAATTAATTTAGAATTGTATACTTCCTGACTGAGTAAGTAGAAAATATAAAATAATTTTTTAATAGCCTATTGTGAAAAAAAATGTGATTCTGTTGTTAGGCTGTGAACTGTGAAGGTGAAGTTTAAAATAATACGCGCTTATGGTTGTTATATCAAGATACTAAAAGTCCGCAGAAACATCTTTGAATTTTTCATCGAAATAACTGTATTTTGATATTTATATCAAGTCATGATGTATTGCGCGAATCAAACAAACAGTTTCTATCAAATACGTATGCCCGCGTACTTGAATCAACTTTGTACTAATTCGATTCTATTTTTATTTATAAAAGAAATTGCTATACATTTTCAACAAACACTTTACATTTCCGGTATTGTTAGGAAAATTACGGGCATAAACAATAAAATTGGTAGAATGACTTTATAATTTTATTTTAAATGTACTATTTTGGTATTAAGGTATGGCAACCCTGTGCGCGAAGCTTCATACAGCATCGAACGAATGAATGAATTATTGCTATCTCGTTCGTAGCTGACTGCCTAGACTAGTCAATACTAATTATTGCTTATACATAATGTTTTATAGTTATAATTTTTAATCTATCGTTTTTTTTTTTAAAGTTAGATACTGTTTTTTTAACTTTGTAGTCATTTTATTAGGGAAAATATTTAATGTTTCAACAATATTGTTACCGTTTTTTTGTTGCTAAGAGACCTTTATGATCGTTATGTGCCAAATATTTTTTTTATTATTGTTTAGGTAATTGTTAGGTATTGCATTGTTTTGTGATGGTATTGTTAGGTAATTATTGTTGTTTAGACAAGTGTTAAGTTCTTCCTGTTTTATATCATATGGTCGGTACGGAGTCTACAATAATGTCCGGTGTATGGGAATGGGCTTACTTAAAGACAATTAATTTAAAAATATTAATAATGTTATTATTTGCAAAAATCCCGTTTTCAAAGACTGCCTATTTCCGTACACTAGGTATAATTTTAGATTCCGTATTTTCTGAATTTTATAATTAGGTATAATATAATCATGGTACTAAAATATTGTGTTCGAACTGACTATCCATTTTTTAATCTGTTCTTCCACTAACGAAGTCATTACGACGCTTTTTTTTAAACTTCGAGGCGAACGCTCAAAATTTTTTATTACGTAATAATTTTTAGGTTATTTTTGTCTAAATGACATATCAATGTCTTGGCGGGAAAACGTCAAAAGTCCCTGTCATTATCTGTGGTTAGACATTTTTAATGAGACTATAAAATAAATAAAGGAATCCTTTTTTAATCTTAATTGAGGCTGTAATCTGTAAAATTTAAGATTTTTTGTCCAAAATGTGACATCAAGTTTTGATAGATACGTAATAAAATATTATAGTATCCTTGTAGATATGTGTTAGTACAATAAGCTACCTTATCGTATATGAATAAAGACTATTATCAAATGAAGCACGAAGTATATTTTGTAATGCTGCTGTCTACACGTCAAATTCTTATTTTAAAATTTAAACATTCCATTTTGATGTATTTTTTTTTTGTGTTTTACAAGATTCTATTAAGCTGCCCCGTTATTTTGTATAGGACAAATCTAGTAATTGGAATTGTTCCCCGTCCTGACGGCATATCGATCTGATATTTGGTACACACTCTTAATCTTGATGATCATACAATATTATCCATTTTTTCCACAACTATATCCATTATGGATATATCAAACGAAAGGGCTTAATCGGTAGATTAGAGCTCATTAAAACCATTTGACATAAATAATATTTTATACATAATGTGTTTTATTTATTATTTGTTTGAGTTATTATTTTTTTTTATAGAAACTGTACTAGGTATTTAGTTAGAGGACTTTGTTTTTTTTTATTAAAAAGTAAGGTTGTATTTTGCCGACTTGCTAATAGATCTCCAGAAAATCAATAACATGTATTTTTATAGATACTAAACTTAAGTAGGTAAATATTTTTAAATTATGTAATAGTTTTAAATTGAATCTGAATAAAGGGCCATTTAATTTTTTTTTAAGGTTGTATTAATTTTATTAAGTTATACGATATTTGTGGCAGTTCTTTTTTCGTTTTGAATATTTAACGATTTTGTAACGAAATTATATTAGTTTTAGACAATACCTGAACCTATTTTTTACGACTTAAATCATGTATTTAGGTATTTATATTGTAATAAAAATTAAATTACAGTATTAAATTTATCGAATTGTCTGTACTATTGGCTTAGTGGCTGGGTGACTGGTTGCTGAGCTAGAAGTCGCGGGTTCGATTCCCGGACGGAACAATTTTTTGTGTGTTCCAATATTTTTGTATAACAATGGTGCTACACAAATTGTTATTCCGAGTTTGGGTGTGATAATATAATATGATAATATGTAAATTATATGTACTTGAAAAAAAAACTTACATACGATACTACACAGATGAAAATCCTAGTATCCCAAAACATTTTTAATAAAAAAAAAGTTGTAATAGAAAACCTGGTTTTATTATTTTACGAAACCTTTTCCTTGAACTTAGACACGGTTTTATATCACCAACATATCATGGCCTCGCTTTGTACGATCTTCCTATACATTCGAAGGTCAGTTTATGCTGGTTTATTAGCTTGACGCTTGGAGCTATGATAACCAGTATATCTTAGTCTAGCTTTGTATCATCTTTCAATACATTCAAAGGTCAGTTTATACTGGAATATTAGCTTGACGCTTGGAGCTATTTGAACCAGTATATCATGGCCTCGCTTTGTATGATTTTTCTATAAATTTGAAGGTCAGTTTATACTGGTTACTGTGATGCTTGGAGCTATAACAACTAGTATATCTTGGTCTAACTTTGTATAATCTACCCATACATTTGACGATCAGTTTATACTGGTAATTTGACTTGAAGTTTGGAGCTTGGAGCTATTACATCCAGTATATCTTGGTCTAGCTTTGTATGATCTTTGTATAAAATCGAAGGTCAGTTTATACTGGTTAAGATAGCTTGACGCTTGAAGCTAAAACAACCAGTATATCTTGGTCTAGCTTTGTATAATCTACCCATACATTCGAAGGTCACTTTATACTGGTTACACAGCTTGGTGCTTGGAGCTGTAGCAAACCAGTATATCTTGGCCTCGCTTTGTATAATCTTTCTATACATTGGAAGGTCACTTTATACTGGTTACGCTAGCTTGATGCTTGGACTTGGGAGTTATAATAAACCAGATAATTTTGATCTAGCTTTGTATGATCTTTCTATACATTCGAAGGTTAGTTTATACTGGTTTATCTAGCTTGATGCTTGGAGCTATAACATCCAGTATATCTTGGTCTAGCTTTGTATGATATTTGTACATAATTGAAGGTCAGTTTATACTGGTTATTCAGTTTGATGATATATAACAATACTCTTGCTGTTTATTGCTCGGGACATCTATAGAACAACTATTACTGCTGTACACAGAGACATTAAGTGATCACTTCAACTTCAATTAGTCTATTCACGTAACATCATGCCTTTTATCCTCGAAGGGGTAGACAGAGGTGCACATTACGGCACTTAATGTTACTGTACAATGTAACACCCACTTTTCACTATTTAATGTGAATAAAGAAACATGTTGTATATACAACATGTAACGTAATTAACGCACACCCTCAAACACTCCAATTAGAATATTATGTTATAATCATAATACATATTACATACACTAAATTTTTTATTTAACATGTATATGCATCCTTACTGGTCTTGTCATAAGGTTTATTTTTCTTTATTTTGTATTGAATCATAGAACTTGTAATGAATACAAATAAAACTGCGATTTTAAAATTCTTATTGTTTTGACTTACGGTCCATTTCGATTTGTTTTAACAATACAGGATTAATATGACAATAATTTCCGTAGTTTTAATTATTTTTGGGATAAAAAATTACCTATAGTTACTAAAAATTATATAAATCGATTCAGTCAGATTCTGAAACAACTGATTCTGAACAAACTATTTTCAGGATGCGCGTTATTTAAGTTACATGTTGTATATAAAAATGAAACCCGTTTCCTGTTGTCACGCCATAACAACATAGGTAATCTGAACGGCTAGACCGATTTAGCTGATTTTTTTTGTTGTGTTTATTATTGCCAGGAGAAGGTTCTTATGACAGAAAAAAGTCCTGGAAATCCTACGGGAACGGGCGAAAACGGGATTGCGCGTACGAAGTCGCGGGCAGAAGCTAGTTTACAATAAATAAGCGATGAATGATTGCAATATACAAGAAGCACCCATCACCAACCCATATTCACACTAGATGATAAAAAAAAAACAAATGCTAGTCACCATTTTTGTACAAGAATCGTAAACGAACCTGTTTGTTAGGGGTAATACCGGTAAACGAGCAAACAGATCACCTGCAGCTGTAGCCAAATGCCATTTAGCGCTTGTCTACATGTAGAATAGAAAACCAAATTATATGGAATTGACGTAAATTTTGTCACTTGTCTGTGTCATCCCCATACATTTTGATTTCTACTCTCTCTGTAGACAAGCGCTAAAGTGGCATTTGGATAAAGGCCCTGTTCACTCGGGCCTTCAAGACTTTCTTGATTCTTTTTTTTTTCGTCAAAAAAAGAATTCTTGACCGGCCGGCTGCCACTGCCGGCTGCCAATGCTGGCTAAACTTTTCAATTTCGTTCTTTAGTAGACGATGATAATGGTGGATTTCCTACCACAAATATATATTTATCTAATAATTGACTGCCTTATTGGCAGAGAGAGATTCCATGTCGGGCAAAGTATTACTGTGTTTTTTAAAAAATCTCAGTAGTAGCACGGAGTCCGGAAATGCATCCGGTATATGGCAATAGGCTCACCCCCTATTACATGGGACTCATAACATAAATGGTGAAAAGTGGGTGTT